GGTAGTAGTAGTCAGCTAGTACAAGTGGTAGTAGTAGTACTAGTAGTACTAGTAGTAGTAGTAGTAGTAGTAGTAGTAGTAGTAGTAGTAGTAGTAGTAGTAGTAGCAGTAGTAGTTTGTAGTTCGTAGTAGTAGCAGTAGTAGTAGTAGTAGTAGTAGTCGTAGTAGTAGTCGTAGTCGTAGTAGTAGTCGTAGTCCTAGTAATAGTTGTAGTCGTAGTAGTTGTAGTAGTATTCGTAGTAGTAGTAGTAGTAGTAGTAGTAGTAGTAGTAGTAGTAGTAGTAGTAGTTTGTAGTTCGTAGTAGTAGCAGCAGTAGTAGTACCAGTAGTAGTAGTAGTAGTAGTAGTCGTCGTAGTAGTAGTCGTAGTCGTAGGAGTAGTCGTAGTCCTAGTAATAGTTGTAGTCGTAGTAGTTGTAGTAGTCGTAGTAGTAGTAGTAGCAGTAGTAGTAGTAGTAGTAGTAGTAGTAGTAGTAGTAGTAGTAGTATTAGTAGTAGTAGTAGTCGTAGTAGTAGTCGTATTATTATTATGATTAGTATTAGTAGTAGTGGTAGTAGTCGTAGTAGTTGTAGTGGCAGCAGCAGCAGCAGCTGCAGTAGTAGTAGTAGTAGTAGTAGTAGTAGTAGCAGTCGTACGACTGAATACTACTGCAACGACAACTACTGTTACTATTACTACATGTAGTAGTAGTAGTAGTAGGCGTAGTAGTAGTAGTAGTAGTAGTAGTAGTAGTAGTAGTAGTAGTAGTAGTAGTAGTAGTAGCCGTCGTAGTAGTAGTAGTAGTAGTAGTAGTTGTTGTTGTAGTAAGTAGTAGTAGTAGCAGTAGTAGTAGTGGTAGTGGTAGTAGTAGTAGTAGTAGTAGTAGTAGTAGTAGTAGTAGTAGTTTGTAGTTTGTAGTTAGTAGTGGTAGTAGTAGTAGTAGTAGTAGTAGTAGTAGTAGTAGTAGTAGTCGTAGTAGTAGTAGTAGTAGTAGTAGTAGTAGTCGTAGTAGTAGTAATAGTCGTAGTAGTAGTCGTAGTAGTAGTAGCAGCAGCAGCAACAGTAGTAGTAGTAGTAGTAGCAGTAGTAGTAGTATCAGGAGTAGGAATAGGAGGCGGAGTAGTAACAGCACGAGTAGTACTGCTACTTCTTCTTTTGTTGTCGCTACTGCTTGTACTGCTACTGCTATCAGTACACAACTTCGGCCACTACTCAGGGGAACTTCTACTACGACTACTACTGCTTCTACGAGTTCTTCTGTTACTATTATTTCTTCTGTTTTTTTCGACTGGCACCGCTACGAGTAATGCTCCTACTTCTAATGCGACTAATGCTACTACTGGAAACACTTTTGCTGCTAGTCACATGCGTATTGCTATTGCCAATGCTACTAGTACCACTACCACTGCTACTAATTATTTCTACTGCTACTTCTATATTCTACTATTGTTCTTATTAGTACCACTACTACTACAACAGCTACACCTACTGCTACTACTGCTAGCAGTTTCACTTTTACTATGCAGTAGTAGCTCCATCATTGCTTTAAACACTGCCCTTGCTATGGTATTGTTGATACGACTGCTGATCGTATTCCTAGTAGTACAAGTGCACCAGTACAGCGATTATTGTGAGTATGGGTGCTACTACTACTACTACTACTACTACTACTACTACTGCTACTGCTACTACTACTACTATTCTTACTACTACTACTACTACGACTACTACTACTACTACTACTACTACTACTGCTACCACTGCTATTACTACTGATACTATATTCGTACTCGTACAACTGCTGCTACTATTGTTACTACGACTACTACAGCTACGACAACTACTTCTACGACTAAGCCGTGACGGGATTCAGTATTTTCGGATTTCCCTGGAGATATCGCTCTGCGCGCGGGGCGGAGCGATACCCTGGGATGGACCTTCACCTTAACGGGCCGATGGATATCAATTTCTCGCTGGGGCTTGTAACCGGGATCGCATAGGAAGCGGGTGGCTGCATTCAAGCGGCCTCAGAAACAGCTTGGACATTGAAGGTTCTTAGTTTGATACCAGCACTACGTGTATTCTTTGAACCACAAGGACTGCGATTGCTGCCAGACTTGTTCCCACTGCCATAAGTTTAGGCTTATTACTACTACTACTACAGCAACTCATACGAAGCATTACTATTTCCCCTACTGCTACTACTACTAGGTAGTAGTAGGCGTAGTAGTACTTGTGGTAGCAGTCCCAGTAGTAGTAGTAGTAGTAGTAGTAGTAGTCGTAGTAGTAATAGTAGTAGTAGTAGTAGTAGTAGTAGTAGTAGTAGTAGTAGTAGTAGTAGTAGTAGTAGTAGTAGTGGTAGTGGAAGTACTAGTAGTAGTAGTAGTACTAGTAGTAGTAGTAGTAGTAGTAGTAGTAGTAGTAGTAGTCGTAATAGTAGTAGTAGTAGTAGTAGTAGTAGTAGTAGTAGTGGTAGGAGTAGTAGTAGTAGTAGTCGTAGTAGTAGTAGTAGTAGTAGTAG